AGGCCCCCTTCCCCCCCCCCCCCAAGCCCCCGCCCCTGGAGACCCCTCCCCAAATTCAGGAAACCCTTCTGAGACCCTCAGACCCCTCCCCAAATTCAGGAAAACTGCCCCGAGACCCCTCCCCAAATTCAGGAAAACCCCCATGAGACCCCTCCCCGAACTCAGGACCCCTTCTCCCATCCCCTGGGACCCCTCCCCAAATTCAGGAAAACCCCCCTGAGACCCCTCCCCGAACTCAGGACCCCTTCTCCCATCCCCTGGGACCCCTCCCCAAACTCAGGACCCCTTCCCCCACCCCCCAGGCCCCCTCCCCCCCCCCCCCAGACCCCCCCCCCGCCCCTAGACCCCTCCCCAAATTCAGGAAGACCCCCCTGAGACCCCTCCCCGAACTCAGGACCCCTTCTCCCATCCCCTGGGACCCCTCCCCAAACTCAGGACCCCTTCCCCCACCCCCCAGGCCCCCTCCCCACCCCCAGGGCCCCCTCCCCGAATTGGGTCTGGGGTCTCACCGGCGGCAGATGCCGTCGGCCGCGGCCTTGCTGAGCCAGGGCCGCTGCAGGAGGTTGTTGAGGGCGTGCAGGGCGCAGAGCTCCAGGCGCTGCCGCTCGTGGTACAGCTCCCCCGAGACCCCAGACCCAAATCCCGCCCCCGGACCCTCCCCCAAATCCCCCCGCGCCCCCGAGACCCCCCCCGGCTCCGGTGGGGGGGAGGGGGAGGCCTGGGGGGCTGCGGGGAGAGAGGGGAGGGGGTCTCGATCAGCTCCCGGAGCTCCCAAATTGGCTCCAAGCCTCCTCTGAGACCCCTCCCCAAATTTGTGGTGTCCCATAAATTCCCCCCCCCGGGACCCCCAAATTCCCACAAATCCCCCCCGGGACCCCCAAATTCCCCCTCAGGACCCCCCAAAATTCCCCCGGGACCCCCAAAATCCTTCCCAGGGGACCCCCAGGATCCCCAAAATCCCCCCCCAGACCCCTCCCCAAATTTGTGGTGTCCTCCAAATCCTCCCCGGGACCCCAAAATTCCCCCGGGACCCCCAAATCCCCCCTCATGATCCCCCAAAATTCCCCCAAAATCCTTCCCAGAGACCCCCAAATTACCCCGGGACCCCCAAAACCCTTCCCACAGACCCCCCCG